TGAAACGGTTTGTCTACAGTATCCCCAGTGACTCAGTAGTTACAGTATCCAGTGACTCGTAGTCACAGGTTTTCACAGTGAATCAGTTTGCTACAGTTTCACGTGGGTCAGTAGTCTGCAGTGTCACAGTGATCCGTAGTCTTTCGTATTCCCGTGCTCAGTTAGTTGCGTATAAAAGGGGACTCGTTGTCTTCAGTTAACACAGTGAAATCAGTTGTCTACGTATCACAGTGAAAAAATGTAGTCTGCAGTTTCACCGTGACTCAGTTTAGTCTACAGTATCACGTGAAATCGTAGTTTACAGTTTCCAGTGGGCTCGTAGTCTTTCAGTATCACCGTGCTCAGTTGTTAAAAGTATCACGGGCTCAGTAGTTACAGTATCACAGTGTCAGTAGTTACAGTTCCTTTATTTAGTAGTCTGCAGTATACAGTTAATGGGGTCTAACCCTCACGTTTATTTAGTTTTTACGTGTACGTGAATCAGAAGTTACAGTATCACAGTGACTCAGTTGTTTACACCATCCCAGTGGGGTCGAAATTACCGGGAATCACGTTGGGCTCCGGGAGTTGCAGTGTCACAGTGACCAGTTTGTTGGGAGTATCACAGTGAAATCCCGTAGTCTACACCCACGTGAATCGTAGTTACAGGTCACAAATGGGCTCATTTGTTACAGTAAACACAGGGGGACTCAGTTTGGGCTACAGTTTTCCAGTGACTCAGTAGTTACCGTTTAAAAGTGACTCAGTAGTCTACGTATTTACGTTTAAACAGGGTCTACGTGTAAAAGGACTCAGTTGCCCTTCGTATCCCCCAGGAACCAGTAGTCACCGTTTCACAGGGATCGTTGTCTACAGTATAAAAAGTGACTCAGTTGTTACGAACACAGTGAAAAAAATAGTCTACGGGTCACAGTGACTCAGTTGTTGCAGGGGTCACAGTGGCTCAGTGTCTACAGTATACAGTGATCAGTAGTCGAAATGTCACAGTGGCCAGTAGGCTGCGTGTCCAGTGGGCTCAAATTTTTAAGTGGCACAGTGACACCAGGGTTGTCTACAGTGTCACAGTGGGCACAGTTGTCTACTGTTCAAAAAGGGGCTCAGTAGTCTGCAGTTTTCACAGTGCCCCCAAATAGTCTGCAGTGTTTACAGGACTCAGTAGTCTAAAAGTGTCACGGACAAAGTAGTTACAGTGGTTTACAGTGACTCGTAGTCTGCAGTATCACATTTATCAGTAGTCTGCAAGGGCCAGTGGGGTCCCCCAGTCTGCAGTATCCCCAGTATCGGGTCTGCAGTTACAAGGGGGCTCAGTAGTCTGCAGTGTCACAATGAAATCAGAAGGGCTACGGGGCAAGTGAAAACGTTTGTCTACAGTGTCACAGGGCTCCGTAGTCTGCAGTTTTCCCGTGATCGGGGTCTAACCCTCACAGTGAAAAGTAGCACAGTGTACAGTGATTTTGTTTGTCTTTCCCCCATCACAGTGACTCATAGTCTACAGTGTCACAGTGACTCAGTAGTCTACAGTGTCACAGTGACTTAATAACAAAGATAGTTGAAGAGAAAGTCTATAAAATATTCATAATAATTATTATTATTTTAATTAAAAGGAAGCGCTAAATCTGTCAGGGTAATTAGGAATATTGATAAGCATTACTCAGTGTTACACTACAAGCTTAAGTCAGAAGGTTGCTGAGCTTCACAGCAGGTATTTCCAGCACTTTGTCAGATCTTGGCATCTTGTGAGATGTTGGCATCCTGTGAGATGTTGGCATCTTGTCAGATGTTGGCATCTTGTCAGATCTTGGCATCTTGTGAGATGTTGGCATCCTGTGAGATGTTGGCATCTTGTCAGATGTTGGCATCTTGTCAGATCTTGACATCTTGTCAGATCTTGGCATCTTGTCAGATCTTGGCATCTTGTCAGATCTTGGCATCTTGTCAGATCTTGGCATCTTGTCAGGACTTGGCATCTTGTCAGATCTTGGCATCTTGTCAGATCTTGACATCTTGTCAGATCTTGCATCTTGTCAGATCTTGGTATCTTGTCAGAACTTGGCATCTTGTCAGATCTTGTCAGATCTTGGCATCTTGTCAGATCTTGACATCTTGTCAGAACTTGGCATCTTGTCAGAACTTGGCATCTTGTCAGATCTTGGCATCTTGTCAGATCTTGGCATCTTGTCACATCTTGGTATCTTGTCAGAACTTGGCATCTTGTCAGATCTTGGCATCTTGTCAGATCTTGGCATCTTGTCAGATCTTGGCATCTTGTCAGATCTTGGCATCTTGTCAGGACTTGGCATCTTGTCAGATCTTGGCATCTTGTCAGATCTTGGCATCTTGTCAGATCTTGGCATCTTGTCAGAACTTGGCATCTTGTCAGATCTTGGCATCTTGTCAGATCTTGGCATCTTGTCAGGACTTTGGCATCTTGTCAGATCTTGGCATCTTGTCAGATCTTGGCATCTTGTCAGATCTTGGCATCTTGTCAGATCTTGGCATCTTGTCAGATCTTGGCATCTTGTCAGATCTTGACATCTTGTCAGATCTTGGCATCTTGTCAGAACTTGGCATCTTGTCAGATCTTGGCATCTTGTCAGAACTTGGCATCTTGTCAGAACTTGGCATCTTGTCAGATCTTGGCATCTTGTCAGAACTTGGCATCTTGTCAGATCTTGGCATCTTGTCAGATCTTGGCATCTTGTCAGTTCTTGGCATCTTGTCAGATCTTGGCATCTTGTCAGATCTTGGCATCTTGTCAGAACTTGGCATCTTGTCAGATCTTGGCATCTTGTCAGATCTTGGCATCTTGTCAGATCTTGGCATCTTGTCAGATCTTGGCATCTTGTCAGATCTTGGCATCTTGTCAGATCTTGACATCTTGTCAGATCTTGGCATCTTGTCAGAACTTGGCATCTTGTCAGATCTTGGCATCTTGTCAGATCTTGGCATCTTGTCAGATCTTGGCATCTTGTCAGATCTTGGCATCTTGTCAGATCTTGACATCTTGTCAGATCTTGGCATCTTGTCAGATCTTGACATCTTGTCAGATCTTGGCATCTTGTCAGATCTTGGCATCTTGTCAGAACTTGGCATCTTGTCAGATCTTGGCATCTTGTCAGAACTTGGCATCTTGTCAGATCTTGGCATCTTGTCAGGACTTGGCATCTTGTCAGGACTTGGCATCTTGTCAGATCTTGGCATCTTGTCAGATCTTGGCATCTTGTCAGATCTTGGTATATTGTCAGATCTTGGCATCTTGTCAGATCTTGGCATCTTGTCAGAACTTGGCATCTTGTCAGATCTTGGCATCTTTTCAGATCTTGGCATCTTGTCAGATCTTGGTATCTTGTCAGAACTTGGCATCTTGTCAGAACTTGGCATCTTGTCAGATCTTGGCATCTTGTCAGAACTTGGCATCTTGTCAGATCTTGGCATCTTGTCAGATCTTGGCATCTTGTCAGATCTTGGCATCTTGTCAGAACTTGGCATCTTGTCAGATCTTGGCATCTTGTCAGAACTTGGCATCTTGTCAGATCTTGGCATCTTGTCAGATCTTGGCATCTTGTCAGATCTTGACATCTTGTCAGATCTTGGCATCTTGTCAGAACTTGGCATCTTGTCAGATCTTGGCACCTTGTCAGATCTTGTCAGATCTTGGCATCTTGTCAGATCTTGGTATCTTGTCAGATCTTGGCATCTTGTCAGATCTTGGCATCTTGTCAGATCTTGGCATCTTGTCAGAATTTGGCATCTTGTCAGAACTTGGCATCTTGTCAGAACTTGGCATCTTGTCAGATCTTGGCATCTTGTCAGATCTTGGCATCTTGTGAGATCTTGGCATCTTGTCAGATCTTGACATCTTGTCAGATCTTGGCATCTTGTCAGGACTTGGCATCTTGTGAGATCTTGGCATCTTGTCAGATCTTGACATCTTGTCAGATCTTGACATCTTGTCAGATCTTGGCATCTTGTCAGATCTTGGCATCTTGTCAGATCTTGGCATCTTGTCAGATCTTGGCATCTTGTCAGATCTTGGCATCTTGTCAGATCCCATCTTCAATATACTATTCAGTTCAAGTCCAGAAAGTTCATCAGAACGTCAGTAAAGTTGAGAGTGGCAGACAAGTCCAGCATAACTTAATTAAGTAACTGGCCGGATGAAGAATAACTTTAATCACTTAACTTTGTTCTCACTTAGAGCAACTTACAGGATGTAATAAAGTTGGTAGAATTACCGACAATATGTAAAGTAAAAGGACACAAGTGCAACTAATGTGACATTTTATTGTGGCAACGTTTCGCTCTCCAGGAGCTTTATCAAGCTTTATCAACGGCTTGATCAAGCTCCTGGAGAGCGAAACGTTTCCACAATAAAATGTCACATTAGTTGCACTTGTGTCCTTTTAACTTACAGGTTCGTCCTGTCTAACCTGGACTCCTCAGTTGGAAAGGAAACGTTTCAGAAAATATATACTAATAAGCAACAAACAGCAAAATGAAGACAAGTGTATGATGAATACCAGCAGAAGTTAGTAAGAATCATCTGCCATCTTACAGGAAGAAAACACCACCAGTTCTGTGTATCAGTGATCTGTTTCACACTCGTATGATAATAAGGTATTACTGAGCTACCTGGTTACTGCCTATCATGTCTTTCTTACTATACCTTATGTCTTCTGTTTGTATGTTGCAGTTTTCCTATAAAACACCCAGGATATCGGTCTCCATTTAGGATGGCATTTTTTCGAAAGTTCCATGTAGGCAGTGGCTGGAGAGACTGGAGGAGAAGATGAGAGCCTTCTGCTTTACTATCCTTGGCTTATCCGTCTAATAATAGCAGACAGTCCTTTTAAAGAGATGGTAGCAGTAGATATTCTTTCTAAGTAGAGTACCGTCTACAGGATGGATATGGGATATACAATGAACATATTAAATTAACTAACTTGTAGAGAGGTTATTTGTTAATTCTAGTTTGTCTCCCTCCGTCCCTCTCCACTTACCTTAAAGGATAGGATACAGACTAGACGACGCTGAGACACAGTACTGACTCTTCAGTTCTGCAGTTGGTGCTTGCCGAGCTGAACCTTACTGAAGGAATGTGTTGATCCTCCCTGCTGCTCCTCGCTCGCCACACTGACCACTAGACTGACTTTTCAGTCAATTTCACCTTCCTGACGGTATCCTTCCTAGCAACAACCAACAGATGACGTCAGTTCCTGTTGAGCAAGAGAGCCCTTGGTTGGGGGTCTGAACTCTTTATCAGGAGGTGTAGTTAGGTGGGTAGACGGGATTGAGAGAGGTCATTCCTCACCGGACATAAAATGCACTACTTAGATTAATGAAGCGATAACTCACTCGATAACTCACTGTAACATAAAATACCGCCAGGCAGTTGGACACACTATCATGATAAGGGAAATCGAATACCATTAACATTTTTAATAAGACTTTTACCAAGAGGACTGAGTTTTATGGAATATAACTTGCTGAGAGGCAATCTGGTGAAAAAATACATGTGACTTGGATATAATGACCGAGGTTATTTGTAAGATATAGATTTGTAGAAGAAATTGAAAGAAATGCTTCTATAAAACACCAATACTGGAAACCATGTGTATAGCAAAGCTACTCATTCTTGTGAATGTTTGACTCACAAGAGTGTCAGACACAGCAACACAAGAGTGTCAGACACAGCAACACAACAGTGTCAGACACAGCAACACAACAGTGTCAGACACAGCAACACAACAGTGTCAGACACAGCAACACAACAGTGTCAGACACAGCAACACAACAGTGTCAGACACAGCAACACAACAGTGTCAGACACAGCAACACAACAGTGTCAGACACAGCAACACAAGAGTGTCAGACACAGCAACACAAAGTGTCAGACACAGCAACACAAGAGTGTCAGACACAGCAACACAACAGTGTCAGACACAGCAACACAACAGTGTCAGACACAGCAACACAACAGTGTCAGACACAGCAACACAACAGTGTCAGACACAGCAACACAAGAGTGTCAGACACAGCAACACAAGAGTGTCAGACACAGCAACACAAGAGTGTCAGACACAGCAACACAACAGTGTCAGACACAGCAACACAACAGTGTCAGACACAGCAACACAACAGTGTCAGACACAGCAACACAAGAGTGTCAGACACAGCAACACAACAGTGTCAGACACAGCAACACAAGAGTGTCAGACACAGCAACACAACAGTGTCAGACACAGCAACACAAGAGTGTCAGACACAGCAACACAACAGTGTCAGACACAGCAACACAACAGTGTCAGACACAGCAACACAACAGTGTCAGACACAGCAACACAACAGTGTCAGACACAGCAACACAACAGTGTCAGACACAGCAACACAAGCAGTGTCAGACACAACAACACAACAGTGTCAGACACAACAACACAACAGTGTCAGACACAGCAACACAACCGTGTCAGACACAACAACACAACAGTGTCAGACACAGCAACACAACAGTGTCAGATACAGCAACACAACAGTGTCAGACACAGCAACACAACAGTGTCAGACACAGCAACACAACAGTGTCAGACACAGCAACACAACAGTGTCAGACACAGCAACACAACAGTGTCAGACACAGCAACACAACAGTGTCAGACACAGCAACACAACCAGTGTCAGACACAGCAACACAACAGTGTCAGAACACAGCAACACAACAGTGTCAGACACAGCAACACAACTGTGTCAGACACAGCAACACAACAGTGTCAGACACAGCAACACAACAGTGTCAGACACAGCAACACAACAGTGTCAGACACAACAACACAACAGTGTCAGACACAGCAACACAACAGTGTCAGACACAACGACACAACAGTGTCAGACACAGCAACACAACAGTGTCAGACACAGCAACACAACAGTATCAGACACAGCAACACAACAGTGTCAGACACAACAACACAACAGTGTCAGACACAGCAACACAACAGTGTCAGACACAGCAACACAACAGTGTCAGACACAGCAACACAACAGTATCAGACACAGCAACACAACAGTGTCAGACACAGCAACACAACAGTGTCAGACACAGCAACACAACGGTATCGTGGTACAGAGAACAGAGAGCAATTTCATTGCTTAAATAATAGTTATTAGTGAGAAAGGTTGGATTCCAGAGAGACTTGCTAGCTTGGGCCAGTAGGCTTGCTGCAGTGCTCTGTAGTTCTTGCATTCTTACTTCTACTAGTAAACCTCGGCCTCTGCTGTATCTTCACCAACTTCCAACTCACCTTCGACAATATTTAAGACACCATTCTCACGCTTCAGCTTTATTTTTTCCAAGGTAGAGGGACTGATTACATCATCTTTACCTCGCCACTACTGCTGTCAACAATACATTCTCCTCTGTATCTGCCTGTTGAAACCTACCTCATAGCGGAATCTTTCAACAGTGAACGTACCCAGCTGTTACACATTTACTCACCAGTTTCTCGGTATTCTACATTATTTTCAACATACCTGGAGTATACCAGGTATGTTGAATCAGGCCTCATGGTGGATCAGGACCTGATCACATCATACAGGCTGTTGCTGTTGGCCGCACGCAACCCGACGTACAAACCACAGCCCGGCTGGTTAGGTACTGACTTTAGGTGCTTGTCCGGTGCCTTCTTGAAGACAACCAGGGGTCTTGAAAACAGCCAGGGGTCTTGTAGACAGCCAGGGGTCTTGAAGACAGCTAGGGGTCTCTTGAAGACAGCAAGGGTTCTTGAAAACAGCCAGGGGTCTTGTAGACAGCCAGGGGTCTTGAAGACAGCTAGGGGTCTCTTGAAGACAGCAAGGGTTCTTGAAGACAGCCAGGGGTCTTGTAGACAGCCAGGGGTCTTGTAGACAGCCAGGGGTCTTGAAGACAGCCAGGGGTCTTATAGACAGCCAGGGGTCTTGTAGACAGCCAGGGGTCTTGAAGACAACCTGGGGCCTATTGGTAATCCTCCTTATCTATGCTGGGAGGTAGTTGAACAGTCTAGGGCCCCTGACACTTACTGTGTTGTCTCTTTTCGAGCTAGTGGTACCCCTTCTTTTCATTGCTGGAATGTTGCATCTCCTGCCGAGTCTTTTGCATTCACAGGAAGTGATTATATTCCAATTGAATATAATCAGTTTCAACACACTAGTGCGGGGCCCAAGACATTCTATTGCCTCCAGCTATAAGGGGGATTACAAATGCCCGCTGTCTTCAAGAAGAACTGGACAGGCATAAGTCATACCTGACCAACGGGCTTGGTTCGTACGTAGCTTGCTGCGACAGCAGTACGTGGTTGATCCAGCCCTGATCACCATAGGCCTGATCTCAGACGAGCGCGGGGCGTCGACCCCGAAACCCTTCCAGGTAAACTCCAGGTATCTCTCCCACCTGCGTTCGAGGGATACAGGTTTAGGAACCTGCGCTCACGTATGAGGTGTCTTTATCCGTAATGAGCCGTGAAGGTTCTCTGTACTTTTAAGTCAGCAATTTCACCTGCCTGAAAGCGTGCTGTTGGTTGCGTAATCAGCCTAGAAAGAACAAGCGCTGAAGAGTGTCTCATGGCTTGGATCCTAGTTTTGAGGTTCCCATTATGCCTGTCATTTCTAGCAGAGTGAGTACATGCGTGTCTTAGAAGGAGATCTCTGCATTACACTCCAGGTCTTTATCTGTTTTCCTCTATCGGTGTGGAATTGAATCGAAACAGTTTTAATCTCACGTTCCATACGAGTAATTGTTTCTCTCATTGAAATTCATATTGTTTTCGTGCCTTAAGATGTTGATGCCCCCGGAGTCTTGCATTCTTCAATGGAGGTCACTGTCATGTAATTCGGGTGTCATCTGCTAAAAAAAAAGGTGCTGTGGCTCAATCACTTATGTTAATGCTGAGGAACAAGATGGAGCGATACCTGTGGACAGAGCTTTCTACATGCGCGCTCAGACTACTCTGTTTACTAACGCTGTGTCTGTTGTTCAGAAATTACGAATGTTTGACACAGCCTGTGTGACATACAACCTGTGTGACATACAACCCGTGTGACATACACCTGTGTGAAACACTTTACATACAACCCTGTGTGACTACAACCCTGTGTGACATACAGCCCTGTGTGACATACAGCCCTGTGTGACATACAGCCCTGTGTTTACATACCAAACTGTGTGACTTACATCCCTGTGTGACATACGCCTGTGTGACATACATACCCTGTGTGAATACAACCTGTTTTGACATAAGCCCTGTGTGACATACAGACCTGTGTGAATACCAACCCTGTGTGACTACAACCTGTGTGACATACACCTGTGTGACATACACCCAGTGTGACATCGCCTGTGTGACATACAGCCCTGTGTGACATACAGCGTGTGACAAACAACACTGTGTGACATCACCCTGTGTGACATCAGCCCTGTGTGACATACACCCTGGTGACATACAACCCTGTGTGACATACAGCTGTGTGACATACAGCCCTGTGTGAATACAACCTTGTTGACATACAACCCTGGGACATACAGCTGTTGTACTACAGCCTGTGTGACATACGCCCTGTGTACATACACACTGGTGACATACAACTCTGTGTGACATACAGCCCTGTGTGACATACAACCCTGTGTGACATACAACCCTGTGTGACATACAGCCCTGTGTGACATACAGCCCTGTGTGACATACAGCCCTGTGTGACATACAACCCTGTGTGACATACAACCCTGTGTGACATACAGCCCTGTGTGACATACAGCCCTGTGTGACATACAACCTGTGTGACATACAGCCTGTGTGACATACACCCTGTGTGACATACAACCCTGTGTGACATACAGCCCTGTGTGACATACAACCCTGTGTGACATACAACCCTGTGTGACATACAACCCTGTGTGACATACAGCCCGTGTGACATAAGCCTGTGTGACATACAGCCCTGTGTGACATACAACCCTGTGTGACATACAACCCTGTGTGACATACAACCCTGTGTGACATACAACCCTGTGTGACATACAACCCTGTGTGACATACAACCCTGTGTGACTACAACCTGTGTGACTTACAACCTTGTGACATACACCTGTGTGACATACAACCCTGTGTGACATACAACCCTGTGTGACATACAACCCTGTGTGAATACAACCCTGTGTGACATACAACCCTGTGTGACATACAACCCT